TACCAAGGAAGCTCATTTATGCCTCTGCTTATCCATGTTTCAGACAATGATGTAAAAACAAACGACTCTGTTTCATTTCCATGACGTACGGTTGTCAAATAGTTTGCCCTTTGACAATCTTTTAAATAATCCTTTTGCAAAATTATACGTCATTGGCGCTATTACGTTACTGAGAAAATACGGTTGTTGTTAATAATTCTTCCAATACCTTCACACGTAATGCTCAAACCTGATATCCATCTTTATCCCAAGATATTGTAAACTTATCTTTACAGATTTTACGAATTAGTCAAACGTAAGTTCAGTTTATCCAATGATTTACCATCTTCAAACACAATTCAATCCCCTACGATTAAAAAAAGATGCCTTGGAGAGGTTCAAATATGGCGGCCAACTGTCAAATAAGTTTTAAAACAGAGACTTATTTAGAAGTAAATAGAACGTACTATGATGTAGCAGTTCCTTAACATGTATCACATATTTTTGTCGTATATTTTTTTAAGTAATGTAAGCGTTACAGATATAAACATTTTTTAGCAATGCAAGTTCCCGGTTTTATTATTAGGTTATTTCAAATAAAAATAAATTCAAATAAAGAAAAAAAAAAAAGTTAGGTATCTGCAACAACCGTTAATTTCCTTCTGACAGTAGTTTCAAGTCTTTTAATTCTCTTACTATACTTACTACGTATGTAATTGGAAACTTTGTACTTAAAACTTTGCGAACGAAAATCTCATATGTTCTCTTTCTGATCGAGCGTCATCAAACACCTAATCCGTTTGGGCAACATATATATATATAGCGTCGTAACAGCTATGCTGGATCCCTCGTTGACATAAAAATATCTCCAAATTTTATTCCCAGGCAGTTCAGGCAAGATGTAATAAAAGTTCGAGTAAAGGTAAAAACCGGTATTGACTGATAGTCGAGATCTGATTAGTCTGTCCTACTCTTTTCTTCTTCTTAACTTCGCTTCGGCCGGCGAAGCGGTTCTGTCGCCCAGCACAGCGCACGAATGGAAACACGTGGGTCAGCGGATTTCTGATTCGCAGTTTCACCGAAATCACGTGAAACGCACGAGGCTGTGTCGGCGCATGCGCGTGGCGGATGAACGCCGGCTCGTCGACGACGCGACGCGACACGCCGTCGGATGACACTATGGCACTCACGCTGCAGCACGCCGGTGCTTTCAGACGCGGTCGAAAAGGGTAGGAGGTTGGATCGCGCGATTCGCGGACTGAACCACGCCAGAGAGAAACTTGACCATCCTCTCCAACTGTTTATTTCCATAGAAACGAAACAAGAAGTGTCACCGTAAACGAGATAAAATTATGCAGAATTCGTGACATTCGGAGAGGTTCGCTGGCGAACGATGCGCTGCGTTTTCGATATGTAAAAATTCTTCCCGTCCGTCACGTCGTTCACATTTGTTACGCACTTGCAGATCGTTCGTTTTTTCTTTCTTTTTTATACTCGTGTAAATTCCGACACTGTTCGCGCGACTCGTTTCTCGTGTTCCCGCGCGAACGAACTGAAAGAAACGAAAATCCAGGAAGAGAGAGCCTGCCGGTATACGTGCGACGTGCTCCACTCACATGCCTTGAAGAGATTCACTATTTCTACTCCTCCGATTCTCCTGTCACTGACGATTTCGACAAACAGGCAACGTGACAAAAGCATATGGGAGATCGTGACGTTTGGAAGGAAAACCGAGCTGTGAAGAGTTAGGAAGAGAGTACGACTCTTTTTCATTTCACTCCACTCCTGAGTGGCACTGTTCTCCAGTCCAAAAAATACGTGAGTAATGTACTTTTCTTTTATGTATTTCATTCATAATTTAACGCTTGGTTCGCGACCAAGAATTTGAGAGAGCAAAGTGAAGATTCTGCAATTGATAATTCCTTGTCCTCAAAATGACTGACAGTTGATGCTTAAATACTTTGATCAAGGAAAACAGCAATAACGCAGTCCTTAATACGTTAATATGGATAATAATGTAAATCAAATCGTCTTCTATCTATGCAACGTGCGCAGTTAATTGATTCGCATCGCGAATGGTCGTTGCCACACGAGAATGAAAACATTCGGCTACGTGTTGGTGACAATTTTCTATGTAACAGAAAGCGTGTGCGATTACACAATTGGTTGCCCTGTGCAATGCTACGCGTGTTAGAAAATCTCGATAAAATTCATTTGGTTGCCGCGTCTTATAATAGTGCGTAATAGTATATTATCGTCTATGGGTGCCAGACTACTCTGTTTACAAACAAACTATGAGATAACATTCGTTAGGAGCGTGTGATGATGAATGTCACATAGAAGAAAAGGCAGTTTTATCGAAAAGTGGCGTTATCACCTCGCTTTACGGTATCTCACCGATACGATATACATCGCTCTAAATTTACGAATTAGAGGGGCAATGTGCGTGGCCAGTGCGAAACACGTGCACGAGATAATGAATCTGAAAAATTTCTGATATCCGCGTTATACATAGGGGAGACGAAAGCTCCAGAAGCTTGCAGGACTGCGTTTCAAAGAAATGCTATTATCACGTTAATAAAGAAAGGAAATTGACACGACTGATTAGCAGTTACGGCCGGGAAGAACATTATTAG